TGGGACTTTTAATTAAAGGCTATTTAAAAATTTACCACGTGAAACAATAATTTGACTCTAATATTTATTTAAAGGACGGAACGACAAGTTTGAGCAACTCATAACGACAGTTATTGAAGGGTAAATAATCAACTTCTTGTAATCAGAGTATATCAGCGAAAATTGCCGAAAAGAAAACAACAGCAAAAACCGGATTTCATTATTAGAGCGTTAAACTAACAATGGCTTACCTCCATTCACTCAATGCTGTGCAAAAATGTTTCTGGTTTACATCGCTTCCATATTACCTTTCGACCTTCCGACCTTCCGCTTTAGCGTTTTCCAAGACATTTAGGTAGTGGTTTTCCGTGTAAGTCCGTGTAAAAGATGACAACAAGACACACTGGAAAGGTATTAAACTATGCATTCTTTTCATTCCTTTAACCACTTTCATCCTTTTCAGCAAGATTGTATGCTACCTGTGTTAGCGCATTCATTTTTTTTTTGTTTTTCTTATTTTATTTACTTTTTTACTCGTTTCTGTCAAGAGACTATAGAATATAGTCTCTTGTTTCGGTGGTTTCGCTCGTTTTGTTTTGTTGTCTCGGGTTTTAGTACATGCCCTCTTGTACATGCCCTCTTGTACATGCCCTCTTGTAAATGCCCTCTTGTAAATGCCCCTGCAAGATAGGAATTCGCCAAATGTTTTTATCCATCAAATATTTTCGTTCGCGCGCCATTGGTCTAAACGCGTCGCGTGACTGAATATTTTCGAGGTAAAACCGGGGAGTATTGTTTAAATAGCCTACATTTGCGCGAAGATATGCTAGGATATCTGTTCCGAGAAGCGGGAGTCAGCGAAAGAAAAACTACCTGTTATCTAGCTCAGTTTTTAGATAACTTAGATTGGGGTCCTAATTTGGACGCCTGAACCTAAAGCTACCTGAGAAATCTTCCCGGATGGTTTGACTGAAAATCCTCTGAAACTATTTGTTAAATAGACCAAGAATGTCCGAGAGTCTTAAGGTGGCCGAACACAATTTCCGCGCGCGCTCTTGCTAATGCCATTTAGCGCACAAACAAGGATTACACAAAGCAACCATGGCGTTAAGGACTTTCTAAAAGTCCTTTCCAATAATTTTTCTCTGGCCTGTTGGTTTCGCCGTTGGAAAAGACTTTTCCCACTTTTTCCACCGGTGACGTAAATACACATTAACCAATGAACAAACAAGTTCTGACTATACGTCATGACGTCGCGCGCGATCAACGACACAACTCGCAGAGCAAATGTCTGCTGAGTTCAAGTACTATAAAAGTATTCTTCATTTAGCTTTTGCTCTCGGACATACTTAAGGATACGAATTTTATGGAAGCAACTGAATATGGTCCATCCAACTTAATTACAAGTCTTTCAAAGAGTGACAGGGAAAAGCAGTGGAAGGTTATTTATCCGACCAATACGTGTTTGTTTACTTACGGACGCGATCTGAGCTCCTGTGTGATCCGTTTTCGAAGAGGAACAGAGCCGTTCCTGCAGTTTGTGTAATTGTTGCACTTTAAGTTGATTTAATGAATGACCAAGTTTCTTCTCTACAAAGAAATGGCATCGCAGCAAANGACGTAAATACACATTAACCAATGAACAAACAAGTGCTGACTATACGTCATGACGTCGCGCGCGATCAACGACACAACTCGCAGAGCAAATGTCTGCTGAGTTGAAGTACTATAAAAATATTTTTCATTTAGCTTTTGCTCTCGGACATACTTAAGGATACGAATTTTATGGAAGCAACTGAATATGTTCTATCCAACTTAATTACAAGTCTGTTAAAGAAGCACAGGGAAAAGCAGTGGAAGGTTATTTATTCGAAGAATACGCGTTTGTTTACTTACGGACGCGATCTGAGCTCCTGTGTGATCCGGATCATGCATATGGATAGTTTGAGAGAATTAAGTTTGGACCGTTCGAAGAAGAACAGAACCGTTCCTGCAGTTTGTGTAATTGTTGCACTTTAAGTTGATTTAATGAATGACCAAGTTTCTTCTCTACAAAGAAATGGCATCGCAGCAAATTTGCATCGGCCGTTTTACCGACTGTACCGTGTTGAAAGCACTCGTCGATCGATGACGGACGTTTCGGAACAGCGCTTTATTCTCTTCCGTTCATTGCGACTTTGATTCTCGACGTTATTTAATCAAGACAGCTTTACAGAATCAAAGTTCTCTTCGACTAATTCCGTCTTCTTCAGTTTATTCGGATTCTTGTCGGTAGAAGCTAGATCTACATAAGTTTATAGCATTTGTCAGGCAGCTCTCTGGTCGCTGGTTAATCTAGACTTAGGCCCAGTTCAGACGTCGTGCTTCTGCCGTGCCGAACTAAATTCAGGAATCAAGTTCGACAAAAGCACGGCAGAAGCACGGCGTCTGAATCAAACTTTTTAATTAAGTTCAGCAAGCAATTAAGTTCGACAAGCTCTGCCGTGCTNGTTTTACCGACTGTACCGCGTTGAAAGCACTCGTCGATCGATGAAGGACTTTTGGGAACAGCGCTTTTATTCTCTTCCGTTCGTTGCGACTTCGATTCTCAACGTTATTTAATCAAGAGAGCTTTACAGAATCAAAGTTCTCTCCGACTAATTCCATTTTCTTCAGTTAATTCGGATTCTTGTAGGCAGAAGCTAGATCTACATAAGTTTATAGCATTTGTCAGGGAGCTCTCTAGTCGCTGGTTAATCTAGACTAAAACAAATAATTCCCGATCGGTTTAAACACGGTTTTGTCTTTTCAGGAGGCGTTACTCAATGGAACAGCTTTTGCCGTTTGTCTGCTGGCTACATACTGCACTGTACACAAATAAATTCATTTGAGTTATGGAAAAGTACTCGTAAACGTTTTGATGGAAATCATTCTCTGCTTTCGCGACGATCGCTCTAGGGAGATAAATCAGTCAAGGATTAAGAAAACCTCGACTTGTGGCAAGTCTAGACGGACAGCGCACGGTCTTTTTCGCGCGGTCAAGAAAGCAAACGGTCTGGGGTCGAGAATGGACTAAACCCAGTTAAAGATGATTTCCAGTCCGCACTGCGCAGTCTCAGCACCCTAATGTTTACAAACATAAATCTGACTCGATAGAATGCGAATCGATGCACATACCTTATCTTTAAGGCCTTTCAGATTCTTTTTCCAACAGCTTCATTGATTTTTACGGCTGCGAAGTTGTTTCATTGAAGTGATATGAGAAAGAACGAAGCATAAAGCTTCGACCGTTTCGCATCCATAATGGCGGTTGTTTTGAAACTTTGAATTTACCTCGTGTAAGTAGTTGCGAAATGTTAAAATTTTGTCATGTCTTACATGAAACAAAAAAAGCAAGCAAACTCTCGAGAGTGCACAGTACGGACTGGAAATCATCTTTAAATTTGTAAATCTCGTTCCCAGAGTCTTCGTTCCCCTTGACCAGCGGTCGGAAAACGAGAGCTCTGGNTTGTTGCACTTTAAGTTGATTTAATGAATGACCAAGTTTCTTCTCTACAAAGAAATGGCATCGCAGCAAATTTGCATCGGCCGTTTCACCGACTGTACCGTGCTGAAAGCACTCGTCGATCGACGAAGGACTTTTGGGAACAGCGCTTTCATTCTCTTCCGTTCGTTGCGACTTCGATTCTCAACGTTATTTAATCAAGAGAGCTTTACGGAATCAAAGTTCTCTCCGAATAATTCCGTCTTCTTCAGTTTATTCGGATTCTTGACGGTAGAAGCTAGATCTACATAAGTTTATAGCATTTGTCAGGCAGCTCTCTGGTCGCTGGCTAATCTACAAACTAAAACAAATAATTCCCGATCGGTTTAAACACGGTTTGTCTTTTCAGGAGGTGTTACTCAATGGAACAGCTTTAGCCGTTTGTCTACTGGCTACATACTGCACTGTACACAAATAAATTCATTTGAGTTATGGAACTGTACTCGTAAACGCTTTGATGGAAATCATTTTCTGCTTTCGCGATGATCTCGCGCGGAGCACATAAAAAGTGAGAATGTCAATCATGTGTTTCGCGCCAAAAGTTTACGCTCTGATTCTCATTCCTGCAAGTGAAACAAGTCGACCTCTCGCGACTTTCGTCGCTCGCGCTCGCCCTCGCGACTTCGTCGCTTGAATTCGCTCTAGGGAGATAAATCAGTCAAGGATAAAGAAAAGGTCGACTTGTGACAAGTCTACCATGGCGTCGATACAGCGATCATTTTAATTGGTCAATGCCCTCGCTATCTGTGCTTTTTTTCCTCATAATTGAACACAGTGTATTTATGGCTTCACTGTTTTATCAAAAATGTATGTTAGAAAAGGTAACGATGCAAAGAAACCAGCAATTCTCAGATTTTTGTTTTTTACCGAAGGCAATTGAAGGTGATTGAATTTTAAGACGAGTAGCACTGGGGACGAGAATGGATTGAATGCGGAATAGCTTTCTAGGAAATACGCCTATTTCTCGAGAACCACTGATTAGAATTTTACGAAATTTGGCACGAAAATACTTTAGACAACAAGTAACTGGAATATGGAAAAAAATTGAAAATTGACAGGGACGATTCTAGATATTCCAGTTAAACTTTTACAAGTGATAATTAAAGATCCCTCTGTTAAACTATTATTAAAATAGTGCTAACTTGTGAACATTGTTACAATCTTGTTTCATCCAAATGAAAAAGAAAATCTAACGACTAGATTTTCTGCAAACAAACAAAACCGATTTTAAAGGCCTGTTTATATTTATTCGTGTTGCCATGGCAACGGCACATACGTCAGCCTAGCTATCAAAAATCCGAAGTTTGTGTTGTTAACTTGCGTGTTGCCATTTTTGGCGACCAAAGGATCAAGTGTTCTAGAGAAAAAGGAGATTGAAACACGGGTATCAAAACTGTGATCTGACTGCTACATGACCCCCTACATGACCGAATTTACGTTTGAAAATACAGCCGCTGAACGGCTCATTAAATTTGGGCTCCGAGAGGAAGCCTGGGTCCTAGCTGCAAAAAGTCTGTTGCAACCAACATTTTCCTAGAAATTTTGTATGTTGAAACTTTTAGAAGCGACTTTGTGGCAGTAAATGTGGCTGAATGTCCATTATTTTGAATGGGTGCATTTCTAGACAAGCCAAAGACTGAAAAACTGACGAAGTCTGCGTCGGGAAATGGCCTTTGCTATGGACTCGCGTCCATGCAAGGTTGGCGTATTGAAATGGAAGATGCACACACTGATATCACTGGGTTGAACCAAGAGCTTCAAGAATGGTCATTTTTTGGCATTTTTGACGGTCATGCAGGCTCTAATGCGAGTCTATATTGTGCAGAGAATCTTTTAGGGTGTGTTTTATCAAGTGATGATTTTAAAGCAGCCTTAAAAAGTGGGCCATCTTCGCCTGATTTGGAGCAGCTTAAAAACGGCATCAAGATGGGATTTTTTGAGCTGGACAAAACGATGCGAGAACTCCCAGCGTGGCTAAACGGGGATGACAAAAGTGGTACAACGGCCGTTACAACCATGATTACTCCTAAGCAATTTATCTTTGCAAACTGTGGAGACTCTAGGGCTATTTTATGTAGCAATGGGAAAGTGACTTTCCACACAGTCGATCACAAACCATCTAATCCAGATGAGAAAACTCGCATCGAAAAGGCGGGGGGGAGTGTTATGATTCAAAGAGTAAACGGTTCTTTGGCAGTTTCTAGGGCTTTAGGAGATTTCGAGTACAAGATGGATAATAACTTAGGTCCAGACAAACAACTGGTTTCTCCCGAACCTGAGATTTCTGTGATTTCAAGACAAGAAGATGTGGACGAGTTTATCGTTATCGGCTGCGATGGTATCTGGGATGTGATGACCAACGAAGAGGTGGGAGAGTATATTCGCTCAAGAATGCTACTTTCTGACGATTTAGAACTTATTTGCAGTGAGCTTCTCGACACCTGTCTGGCTAAGGTGAGCTGTTGTCTTTATTTTGGTTATTATTTTATCACTTATTTGCCGATGGTTCAAACCAGTTAGTTTGAACATGACCAAAACAGTTGTACCAAATTTGAGAGAGTAACCATCCGTTTCATCATTCTTACTAAGGGCTTGTTAACTAAGCTCAAGAGAATTATCTTATAAATATATCAAATGCTTTAAGAAATTCAGCACAAGTATTTTGATAGTCAGCCGATATGGTTGATATTCCGACAAATTATTCCAGTCAAATTTGTTGGTTTATATACGCAAGTGTAACGTTGTGCTTATGTAGTAAAACGTACTTTTCAGAATCCTTTATTTTTAACGGTACCAAATTTTCATAGAGATGGGTCATTTGGATTCAGGTGAAGGTATTTTCGGTCTAATACTCGTTGTTTTTTCCTCTTTTCAGAGGATGAATTAATATTAACATTAGCACAAGGAAAAAATATTTCAGGAAGTTCTAAAAGCTTCTCGTTATAATAAAATGAGTTTACAAAATCCTGCCTGCAATAACTGCGTGATGATCTAAACAACACTTCACTTAACAGCTTTACAAACCTTGATCTTAACATATTCTTGAGTAATGGCAGCTTTCAATATGCTGATGACTTATTAAATTGCAGTTTAGCCATGATTTTACTGTTTATATGCTTGCTGTCATTGTTGTTTTTGTTAAACTTAGTGCATAACCATCTTTGTAAATTTATGCCCAAAGAAGTTTTCTTAGGTTTCCCAATAACTGATTGTTTCCTGTTGCACATAGCATGCTTTTCTTCATGTCAATCATGTTAATTTGTACTTTCACTTTTGACTTTGGTAGGGAAGTCGTGATAACATGAGTGTGATCTTAATCACTTTTGCTGGAGCACCAAAGGTTTCAGAAGAAGCTATGAAAATGGTATGATACAATTAAAGTACATTGATACATAGACTTGAAGGATTTTGTAGTCTAAATATGGATGCATTCCAGTAATGGCTTCATACATTATTCATCTTATAAGATTCCAGCTCTGAAGGCAGATTCAAGCTTTAACATAATGTGGTGTAGTGTATGACATACATTGAAAGACGAATGATATATATACAATCTTCTGTCCAAGGGAAGGGAGCACCTTCCCATACTTTCTGTTAAACACAAGGCAAGGCTGTAAAAGGAAAGAAGACATTATTTTGTTGCTTGGATTGACCACAGATGACAGAACAAATAACAGTCATCAGAAGATTACAAACAGTTGGGAGATGTTTCTTTGATTCATAAGAACTGGTTGGGCAAAACACTAAAATGTTTTTATCTTGATTTTAGAAGTTTCAAAGGTGGAAGTAAATAAATTTGAACAGGAGCTGAGGAATCTTACAATGACCCAAACCTAGAAATCAAATTCTGCTGGACATCACTCACAACCCCTAATACTAGATGGATTATTACAATGCAAAACCTGAATCCTGCAATTAAGATTTCAGTTTTTCAGTATATCTTTATTTAACTGCCGTTGAATAAACTCAGATAATTATGACTAGTGTCAGATATTAAACCCACATTTGTGTTGGGGCATCTTGGCTTATCCAGTGCATTTAACTTTGACAAGTTCAGTTGTTTTTTCTTTGTACCTTTTCTTTTTGTTTATCTAACCACAAGAGACCCCACTTACATTCACACTAGTGTAATATTGTATCTTGTAATTTCTGTAACAGATGACTCAGTTCAAGGACAAGTCTAATCAAAAGGCCTTTGTGCCTGGCTACTCATGATTGCAATGTTAATGTAAACGGTAGCATATAAAATGTGATGATTTATTAATCTTCTGCGCTTGCCAGCAATAAGTAGCTCATTCTGTATGAAAGCTAATTGATAAAGCATCATTGCACCATTGATTTCATTTGAATGTTGCATGAAACAATGTCTTTTATTGTTTTGTTTTAGTTTTTTGAGTGGCTTTTTAAATTTGTTCTTAACAAATTTGGAGAAATTTAGTCTCATATTTAAATTGAAACATGTGGTCAGTTAAAACGCCACCTTTGAATACTCCCTATGGATCATACAATCTTCAAATGGTCTTGAATTTTAGTGGTTATCCTGAAAAGTCCTTGAATTTGGTTAAGGTCCTTGAAAAGTACTTGATTTCTTTATAATTATTTAGGTCATGAAAAGTCCTTGAAATTTAGTAATTTGTTTATGCCACTTTCATTTTCTTAAAAATTATATGATCTTACTAAGGAAAATTTGTCCATCAGTGACTTATACATAGTGATGTCAATAGGACAAATGGTGGGTATCAAATGTGGATATATGTACATGAAGCAAAACTGGATCTTTATATCCTCAATTTTGGGCTCATTGCAAGGCTGCTCATGTGGGATTAGCCCCAACATGAGTTTGGAGGCTATGTGATCAATAGTGACAGTAGCACATTCAAGGAGGTATTTTTGATTTTCCCTTCATTTCCAATATAAGTTAGTGATGGAAAAATGTGCATTTAATTGTAAACGGTCAAGTGCTGCAAAGGTTAACTGTGTAAAAGAATTTAAAGGTGACAAACATTAGGCATGTGTTTAGAACAAAGTGATTAACATCAACATTGGAAAGCATTGAGAAAGCGCCACGGTACCAATTTTTGAGAAGTATTTTATTTTTGTGCCTTTGTTAAATTATATTTCTGTACCTTAGACTTAAGTGCAAGTCAGGTAGCCAATGACTGTGGTCATTAAGTTTTCAAAATTTTGTCACAGAGACTAATGTCATTGACCATGGTTGAACTATCTAAAAACTGTAAAATACTCAACTGAATGTTAAATAGGAATTTGAGGTGGCTCCATAGGGTAATTGTTTATCATGTTGCTCATGCTAGTGTTATGTTTTGAATGCTGTTTTTGCATTTGTTTTTATACCCAGTCCTCTCAAACTAAGTAAATGTTATAAGCAATGATGAAATAGCGTTTTACCATCATCTCTGTTAAATTTTTGGCCCTAAATCTTGAATTTTAAATGCCCAAACAAATGCATTTTTTTACCATTTTAGTGGTTTTATTTGTGATCTTCTTGAATTTCCTTCAGCAAAATCTTCCAAAATTTTCACAATTCATTGAATCAAGCGGGATATGAAGTTTAAACACAAAAAATAGGGTTTGTACAGACAATGTTTTCGAGTTTGGAAATTTTTGTCTTTTACTACTGTGGTAAAACTGGTCAGATAGATTTCCCTGCAAAATGAGCTCCAACAAAAGTAGAATATATATTACTAGTCTGCCAAATTTTATGGAATTTCACTAAGGGAAATGTGAGAAAATTCACTAGCTCTTGTTGACATCATAAAACATCGAAAAACATGGATGTTTTCTTTTAAGTGTGCACAGATTACTTAAGCTTTTGTCCTCAGCACGAGTGCAATCATTAGACTATAGGGAGCCACCTTAAAAAAAGGGATTAGGAATACTAATTTATTGAATGAAGCTTAGTCTTTGACAACTATTTCTTGTTCTTGAAAACTCCTTGAATTTTGTCTGTCTGATGACTCTCAAAAAGTTATAACATGTATGTGCAAAGCTTCAGCAGATTTGACCAAGGATCTTTACAGCACATGGACCAACTAACTTGTCAAGTGAACAAACGAGTGCAATTTCATTACACCACTATTCAAACTTAAATTAGCACTGGAGAAATAATACTTAGTATGGTATCAAAAAAGGCAATACTCTAAAACATTGCTTGCTGTAACTTAAGGTGGCCCCTTTGTAGGTTGTCCGACCAGCCTTACTTCATGGCTCCATTCTCTGTTGCTTTCCTACCTTCCCTGATCCTGTTAACCTTTCATTCTAACCATACTTTCGACTTCCAATAATTATCTTGGGTTCAGTCTTGGAAAGGTGGGATCCATTTCCAGATGTTTGCCTGTTACAAATGAGTTCAAAACAACTTGGCTTTGGTTTTGCTTTGCTTCTTCTTACTATTATAAAGCTTAATAGTAAGATTGAACAACTTCATGAGTCAGTAAACTGTTTTGTAGCATTCTTCTAATCTTCTTGCATGAAAATTAATATAATTTATTAGCTGTCTTCAATTTCTAAATCCCAAAGAATTTTTAGTCTGAGATCCTGGGTAGTTTTTGGTTTTTTGGTTTCAAATAGCCTCACCAGCTATTGAAAGAAGTCTTGTTTGTTGATCTGATTCCCAGTACCGCAACACAGTTCAGTACAGTCCTTGTTTTCTCCCTGCAGTGACATTATTGCCTTTGACAATAATTATTTTCTTAAAATTAGTTTTGACCAATCTGTTTTATTATTTCTTTCATAGGAAGCAGAACTAAATGCTGACTTGGAGAAAAGAATAGCTGGTATGTGTGGTTTTGTAGAGTACATTGTGATGAGATGAAATAGAAGAGTAATAAGTATCTGAAATGAAGAGAATTCCAAGGAGCTCTTCAGGCTCAGGCATAAGCCAGGGTCATGTTTTATGCAAGTCTGGAGAAACTGTTAAAGCAAAACAAACCAAAGAATTCAATTTGGGATTTTTAACAAATTTCAAAGCAAACATGGTCTACAAACTGAGCACCAAAACTCATTTTGGTGCTCTGTCATAATGTCTGATCAGAGTGTAAAATTTGTCAGACAATTTTGCAAATTTCATTGGACAATGTTGATGACCAGCTGTTACTTCCTGCCTACAAAATTTCTTTAAGGTTACTCCAAACCTTCGTGGGTATCCTCCAGATAAAAAATTCATATACGCACTGTTTTCAAGGAAACCCCCACAAACTATATATCAATAGCAAGGTTATGAAATGTAGAATTTGATAAAATTATATTCTTTTTTGCTGATTGCTTTCCTAAGGTAGCAGAAGCAGTTAACACCAAAACGACCGACTGGTCTGACTTAGTCTGTTGAAATGCGATTGTTGATGGAAAATAACTGTGCAGTGTTAATCACAAAACATCAATCTCTCAAAGGGTGTAAGCATTTTTGTATTTTTATTGGTTATCTTTATATGATCTGTCAAGTTCCACTATTGCAAAATTCGCGTAATGTGTTGCGTTAGAGGTTGCCGTGAGAAAAGTATTTAAAATAAAATAATTTGCCAACACTATTTTGTTCAGTATCTATCAGTGAATGTTCTGGCCAAATTTCACAGCAAACCGTTGATTCTACATACCCTATTAATTCATTTAAAGAGGAGTATGGCAAGCCGTTTGTAGCAAAATTTAATCCTTGCAATGTATGTTTAATCCTTTAAATAAATGGTTTTATTTAAAGATAGAAAAAGGCATTCAATCCAATGGTAAATGAAATTTTTGGTTCAATTCAATCTTTTAATTTTCATGATTCAATTCAATA